TAAATTTTTAAGCATACATTATTCATTTGTTTGTGTGTTCGTCAGTTCGTTCGTTTGTTTGTTCGTTCGTTTGTTTGTTTGTCGTTCATCATTTACTTATTTTGTTATGCTCGTTCGTTCGTCATTCATTTATTTTATTTCATTCATTCGTTCGTTCGCTCGCTCGTACATTCATTTATTCATTCATTCATTCATTCATTCAAGTCAGTCATTATTTTATTTATTTATTTATTAAAATTTTATTTATTTATTTATTTATTTATTTATTTATTTATTTATTTATTTATTTATTTATTTATTTATTAACTTACTTACTTATTCGTTCGTTTGTTCGTTCCCAAATTATATAAACAAGAGATGAACTGGTGTCGTAACAGCTAAGCACCATTGGGAGCCTTCTTTTAACATTGATTACCAATTACGACTATGTATACAGTTACCCAAAAATTTACCTTTCATTAACATTTACAATCCCTCGTGAAAATAATTACCAGTTTTCAAAGTTATATGGTTATCCGAATTAGCACCTCGACAAGTTGCTAATAATGAACATGCCTGTGTTGACACACTGGGTGTGATCGTCACAAGAAGAATCAAAGCACTGAAAGTTCTGTGTGCGACAAGCGTAAATGTTATAGTACTCATGCAGTGGCAACGCTAAGTTTACAATTTGCCCTACCGGAAGTAAACATAATGATAAGAAATGAAGTGTAAGCTAGTGTTTTCTAACAACATTTATTATTTAAAAGCAATATAAAATTAGCTTTATAAAGTGTTGTACATAATCACTGGAAATAAAGATATATGAGCCGCGTCACGAGAAAACCAACGTAATGGGTTTGCGACCAGCATGGATCCAGACCAGTCTGCGCATCCGCACAGTCTGATCAGGATCCACGCCGTTCGCTATCTGTTACTCTACTTGTAAGCGAACAGCATGGATCTGATGACTTCCGATGCGCGTTGTTGTTCCGCAAAATTCAAGATGACTGGTGTCGTACAGCAAGCACCATTGGAGCCTTGTTACATTGTTACCAATTACGACTATTATAATTACCAAATTTACCTTCTTACATGTTAAATCCTGTGAAAATAGTTACAGTTTTCAAAGTTATATGTTATCCGAATTAGCATCGTCAAGTTGCTAATAATGAACATGCTGTGTGCACACTGGGTTGTCTACAAGAAGAACAAAGCACTGAAAGTTTCGTGTGCAAAAGCGTAAATGTTAAATACTATGCAATGGCAACGCTAAGTTTCAATTTGCCCTACGGAAGTAAAATAATGATAAGAAATATGTAAGCTAGTGTTTTACAACATTTAATTTTTAAGCATATAAATTAGTTTATAAAGTGTTGTATAATCACTTAAATAAATTATGAGCCGCGTCAAGAGAACCACGTAATGGTTGGACCAATGGATCCAGAACCGTGCTGCGCATCAGCACAGTCTGATAGGATCCACGCCGTTCGCTATCTTTACGTCTACGTAAACAACAGCATGGATCCTGATCAGACTAAATAATTATTTACAGTGAAAAAAAACGGAAACTGAAAATGTGCATCTTATTAATTTCCTCAATAATTCTTATTATTTCATTATAAGAATATAATAAAAGTTGCTTATTCTTTAATCAGGATATTGTTTTTCATGGAAAGGAAGTATACGTTCGATTTTGAAATAAGAAAATAACCTAGAAAATTAAGTTTGAATATATTACATATACAGTAAACAACAGCGACGTGAAGGTTCATTTGAAAATATATGAGCTTTGGTGAACAAAGAGGGTCAGCAGTAAAAATTCTGTTCACTAAAATTAATTATCTTTAAATACTAAGTATATTTGACAAAAATTACTATAGTTCGATTCCTCTCTCAAAACGGAAGCATTAAAAAATATATCTTACATGTATTTTGTGATTATAGTGGAATTCGTGAGAAAATATGTGCCTTAGATTCTAAAACATGAACTTTTATATTTATTAGACAGGTATGTTTCCATTTCATTTATATTTGATTCTGAAGATTTCTCTTACATAACAATTTCTATTAACGTACATAATATAGCCGGTCATTTTTATTTTGTATTTGCGAATCAGATATGGTCATATAATTTGTAATTAAAGCTATGGTTGGTTTAGAATTAAATCCTTTCATTATCTGGTTAATTAAGGGACGATTGCGTTTATGGTCATATATCATAAGCAAAAATAGCCTTCTGTCAGAGTAATATGAACGTATACTGGGAATTAAATAAATAAAGCGTTATGATAGAAAAACTGTAGTTATTACTTTAGACAAAACAATATCGCCCTTGCTTGATGATTTAGCATTTCACAACTTTATGGCAGTTTATTAAAACTATTATAGTTAGATAATTTGAAATTCACCAACAATTCGCAGGGAAATAAAATCCATCCATGTGGAATACATTATGACCAAAGATGAGGATTGCATAATTATTAAAATTTCATATTTTCAATGCACCTTCCATGAAAAGCAGCTATCGAAAATAGTCAATAACTCTTAATTTGTTTGTGATGGGTGTAATGGATGACACGTTATAAATATTGAGGGGTAGAGGAATGCAAACAGGAAAAAAATTAAAGTTTTTCATCATTATACCAAAGTGATCAGTTTAAACATCTTTTGACCGAATAGTTTTATAGCGAAACTTTCACATATTGACAGCGTTTAAAAGCTCGTTAAAATTCGGGACACTTCGTCCCTTTCCGTTTGAGAAGTAAGTCGTATGCATGCCAGGGTCAATAGAAAGAAACATACAAAAAGGAATTTATTTAAAACTTAAACGAACTTAGAATAAAATAACAAAACAGAACATTTTAAGCTAAAAAAAATTAGGCGGGTCCACAGGCCATGTTTTCGAGTTATCTGTCCTTGAATTTCATTTATTTATGTTATTCCATGTTATTTTGTGGGCATATAATTTATACAGAAGTTTTACAAAACTTTTATCACTTTAATCCTTGGTCATAATACAAAATTTCATGTAATTCCATCATGGTTAATACCAACACTTGAAAGAAGTCAGCTACTTGAAAAGAAGAAAAAATAAGACATGTTAATCTAATGAATTATCTGCTCTTGAAGAAAGCAAACTCTTCAAATTCAAGGGCAGATAACTCGAAAACGAGGTCAGTGACACCGGTTTGTTTTCTTTTTAATTTGCTTTGAATAAATGTTTTCATTATCATTCTCTAAAGAATCAATAACAGTTTAGATAAATTCTATTTTGTAGTTTCTTTTGTGTTTATGTCTTTTTTTAACAAACACTAGCATGCGGTGGCTAGATTTTCTTTACGTAAACATTTCAGTTTTGGAGTCATTACATGTGAATGCATTAAAAGTACTACTCAAACAAAATGTGTATGTGTATTTGTATTCAGCTCGGAAATAAACATGTTGGTTCGTCAAGATCTTATCAAATAATTTTAGGGTCAAAGTACAAACGAAAAGTGGAGTTTAGATGGATAATTGGATAAATGGATAAAAACATTGACCACGATTTAAGTGCCCACTTAATAATCACATTTGGCATGAGAATATGTAAAATATCAGTCATTTTTGCAATCGCCACCGGAAGCTCATGAGGGAATCGCAATCTATAAGAGTGTAAGTCGTTGCATTTTTTGTGGACAGTTCAACGAGTACAGAGATTCTTCTTTCACCGGAAGTAACCACAGCGTTCTTTTTTAAAGTAAAAAGTGGTGGCTTAACCACATAATAGGCATTGAGCTCATTTCTCTTGCCAATAATAAATAAGCAAAGAAATAATCTCCCAGCTATCATCACGAACATAATTACTATCCAGCACCTGTGGTGATGGTGGTGGTGGTGGTGGTGGCACTTTTCACAGTAAGCTACATTGAATTTACCAGAGCACAGTTCAGATCGTTCCTGGGCAGGCTGTCAAGCAGTTTACCAGTACTAGTTTCCTGCACTTTCCTTAGGAACTGAAACTTCTGTACATGCCAGGGTAGAGGTGCAGTGCGAATGACCGTAGATCAACCACAACTAAAATGACCCTACATATTAAGTTAACCAGACGACTTATACAACACCTGTTTACTATTACACGAAATTGATGGTATAAGCTAGGTTGCTGGATAGTAATTTTGTTCTTGGTGATAAACGGGAGATTATTGTATGATAATTTCACCCTTTTTGGCAACACAAATGAGTTGGTTGCACGTATTGCATATTGGTATTGCGACAATATGACCAATTTATCAAAAGCTCAATATTTGGTGTCTTTTATCATGCACTCTTTCAATGAGAAAGGGGTAAGAAGTCAATGGCGTACCCTCCTACAGGTGGTGTAAGCCGCGCTCTACACTTTTTCCAAAATAGCGTAAAATAAATATATATACATGTATAGTTTATTTGACTGCCCACAATTTCTTAAAATCCTTTGAACATATTTAATTGCTCAATAAATTTGCATACACAAAAAGTATGTACGCCCCTGGATGTAACACGTTTTAAGGTATGAGAAAAATGTGACATCCATCTGACATAATTATATAAATGCAATTTCTAAAATATATTTTATACATTTTAACATGCATTGCTGACTATTGTATGAATCACTAAACTTTAACGATTTTATATTAATGTAAAACACTAAGCAAACAAATCTAAAAAAAGAATCTTCATCGAATCAGTGTAAATATTTACGATTAAACAAGTTTTTCAACAACAAAAAACAGCAACCCGCCGTACACATTGTGTCAATATAATTATCATAAAGATCTTAAATTAATAAATTTAAACGAGTAACTAGAGACGGTAACCTGAAGTTAGTATCTGATTTTCAGTTTAAATACTACATTTTTATCTTTTTAAGATTCAAATTATCAGATCAAGATCAAGTTTGAAAAATATGAAAGAAAATAATGGAGTGTCCTGATTAATGCATATTTTTGTAAACAAACTATATTTATGTTAAAGATAATGAAGATAAAACAAAATACACATACCGAACTACTTTGTTTAAAACATCCGGGTTTTTCTGTTTGTCAAGTATGTTCACTGTCGTGATATTTTATCATACGAGTTAAATACTCATTTAATAATGTCCAAAAGCTCATCTCATCTCATCCCACATGCCATTCATGTATATAACTCCAATTAGTTCTATATTTAGTTTTTTGATCGTCATAAGTTCGTGAAACTTCGGTATATTCCGTTAGTTTCCGTGTATACACAATATTAAAAGTAGAAGCAAATAGGAAGCTGGCCTAATTCACTGTTTAACTTGCGCATATTTAATCTTATCAGCCGTGCACTACAACTCTTAAAAAGCAAATTGTTGTTGAAGAAATAAGCACTTCTATAATATCCAGTTATCTCTATATACATGTATGTATATATACGTGTATAATTAAGTAATATTTGAATCTAATTAAAATTTACATTTCTGCTTGCAATATTAACTCCTGATAATTTTTCTATAAAGATCAACATTGAAAGGAATACTATACATTTGTGTATAGATAACTGATAACTAAATTTAGATGACCTTTGTCGTTATCTATTTATGACTGGCAATGACTCAGAAGAAGAAGAATTCATAATAGTCGAGAATGAATCGATATCAAACAAAAGGTTGGGAGGGAATTGCTCTTTGTAAACAATTAGCAGAACAGATGATTTTTTTTAAAAAAAAAAAGAACAGTTTTTCATAGAGTAAACGACGAAGAGTTAAATCTTTAACATTCTAAATGTTTTCAACAATGATACAACTCTTAAAAAAAACTTCAGAGAAAACAGTTCACGACAAGGTCACAGTATACACAGTGTACCATTAAAGTGTAATCACTTTATAGTAATATACTACTTAGATGTAGCCTTTTAACAACTCATATTAGTGTTCCATCTTAACGCAGCATGCCTCATGCTAATTTTCATGAACATTTTTAAAATGTAGTTTAAAGTGAAATATTGCAAAAGTTATTTTCATATCGCAAACAGCAGTAATTTACGTTAATTACCAAAAAGTGGACAAAATATGCAAAACAATGCCTTGTTACGTTAGTAAGAAAGTAGAAATATGGCGATTAATACATTGTAGTGCAAATGCAGTCATTATAATGGCATGTAACATGTAAATTATTGCTAGATTCTTGACTCTCTTTATTTTTCTTAAAATCTTAGTATATTTTTCTCAAGTTTGATTTTCTAAAAATAATTCGCTCATCCGATAGCATGCAGCTTTAATAGTCTTTAAAATCCATATGTCAATCATACATAACCGAGCTTTTATTCTGTTTTGCCAAGCATATAATATTACCAAGTCTTTTAAAGCATACAATATATACCATATCTTTTCAAGCAAACAATATTACCAAGTCTTTTTAAGCATACGATATTACCAAGTCTTTTCAAGCAAACAATATTAACAAGTCTTTTCAAGCATACAATATTACCAAGTCTTTTCAAGCATATAATATTACCAAGTCTTTTAAAGCATACAATATATACCATATCTTTTCAAGCAAACAATATTACCAAGTCTTTTTAAGCATACGATATTACCAAGTCTTTTCAAGCAAACAATATTAACAAGTCTTTTCAAGCATACAATATTACCAAGTCTTTTCAAGCATACAATATTACCAAGTCTTTTCAAGCAAACAATATTACCAAGTCTTTTCAAGCAAACAATATTACCAAGTCTTTTCAAGCATACAAAAATACAGTCTTTTCAAGCAAACATATTTCTTTTCATGCATACAAAAATACAGTCTTTTCAAGTTGGCTGCACAGACGTCACTATTTTGCGATGGTAACTTTATATTTGTGTTTAACTTACAGACCCCACACAGAAATAACTACAAGTACACGGTCTTAAGTAATGAGGTAAAATAAAATGATTATTTCCCAATATTTGAAGAAAAAAAAATAGTTACAAAAAACACGTTTCACACGGTTGGCACATCAATGGATTTTTGAAGTTAAATAAACTACTCACTGAAAATCAACTATATTTCCATTTTCTTAAAAACACTACTTATATTCAATAATACATCAAACAAACACTATATTATTGTGCATACTTATTCACAATGTCCCTTTCAAATTGCATAGTTTTTGTATAATATAACCTTGGTGTAAATTTTATACTCATAACAAACTTTTATTTTTAATATAAATTATGATATTTAAAAATAATATTAAACGTAATAAATTCCTCTCCTTTGCATATAAATTGTGACAAATATATATATCATGATAGTTGTTATATTTACAGTCTTGTGTGTGTCTTCAAATGAGTTATTTATGTACATTGTGTGTGTTTAAATAAAAAAATATCTTGAAAAAAAAGGAAAAAATAGCTATAAGCTTAACAAATCATAAGGGTCCATTATGCTTCAGAAATCATATTATTTTTATTTCTCAAAAACAGTTTATTGTCGGTATCTTATTACAGTTTTCATCCGCTATATGCATGATATCTTTTGCATCTTTAACAAGTACTTATCTTTAGGTCTGTTAGCAATTGGTATAATTATATTATAGTGAATTAGTATTTTGTATGGAATACTTCTTTGTTAAAATTGTGCTACCTTTTACGACACATAACTGCATGGTTAGCACTACCTTTTCAGTTGAAAAGCATCTAACATGCTCTTAATCTATTATTTAAACAATATTAATCACATGTTTGACATTTCTGAAGAATTAAAAAAGTATGGATTTCTGAGGCATAATGTGCCAATCCAATTACAAATGAAATTACAAATACACGAATACAAGAATAAGAGTGCTTTTAAATGCACATAATGCATCAGATTCTTTTTTTAAAAGATCATATGAGTTTTGAACTGCAAAAATACAAATGCTTTAAGAGCATGTAAAATGCTTGTTACTTAAAAAAGTGGGGCTTCGTGTTAATTAACGTCTCATGCAAGAAACGAAATGAAAACAAAGTAGTATTTTCACTTCCCTTCAAAATGTATTCAAAATACTAAATCAATATAACTGTATTAATTGCTAAAAAGCAACGGATAAAAAACATGGTTCATGTAATTGGGCTATGAGTTACTTTTTTGGAAATTATTTGAGTATATAAAAAATAAAAAGGTTTTAAGAAATAAAAATAAAATCTTTTTGGGGCATAATAAGTAAAGAAACATAGAACAATTCAAATAATATCTTAAGTACATGCGTGACATTGCTCTTGGTTAAAATGCTGAAGTTTTACTGAAATGATTCTATCGAAGATGTGATGAAGTAGGCGACACGAAGTAAGTATAGAATTTCGTTCTTTTTTATATATAAAGTGCAATGACAGAAGATAGGCATTTATTTTGTGGGTGTTTAGGTAGTGCTTTGAAAAGGGCCAGACGAGAAACTCATGGAGGAAAAAATCTTAACCTGCTGCTACGACAGCAACAAATAAACCCACAGTATTCAAATCACTTGCTACCTTATTTTTCAAGTACGGCACTGGATGGCATTTAGAGAAGTGTGGCCTATAAGGATTTAACAGTTTGAACAGTTTGAACAGTTTATTGAAAATGCCGGGCCTCATAGAGGCATCAGTCACATATACAATAATATATACATATAGTATGACATATAAAGAGATATCCACGAAATATGCTGATGTTTTACATGGCAAATATAAATAAAAAATGAAAGTGTTACATTATGAAAATAAGCTTAGTTATCAGTTACTTAAATGCTGAAATAATTTTTTTACAGAATACTGCAAGTTTTAACAATATACTCCTATCTGTGCTATTCATTAACATAGAAAACTTGATTGAATTAACATTAGTACTATACTCTCTAGTAATATATTTTTTTCTATCAGTATTAAAGAATTGACAATTAAATAAATAATGAGATTCATCACCAAGTGAGCTATTATTGCATAAATTACACACTCTTAATTCTCTTGGTATTTTACAAAATCTACCAGACTCAATAGGCATTTTATGGTTCATACATCTAAAGCGCAATAGTACCAAAGCTAAATGAGATGGTAAAATATCTAAAAACTTTTCAAATCTGAATTCACTTTTGTACATTCTATAATTCAGACATTTACTTGATTGTGACATTTCACTATGCCAATTTTGAATGAACTGATCACTCAATACAGGATTGGAGCAGTACCTGTAGATGCTTGCAGAAATCATGATCACAAAATAGACAAATATATACTTTTTCTTTTCGCCGAGTTTTACATTTTTCATTCATTATCATATATAAATCAGTGTGAAAAGATGAATAAGACGTTTCAAAGTTCATTCCGTTGGGTGAAAAGGCAAGATTTTAGCATTTTATCATTCAAGCGTCTTGTCCGGTATATAACGGAATACGGTATTTAGTATGTTGTTCCAATCCTTTTTAGTCTCACTCGGCCTATAACCCGCTGCCTCTGTGACGTAACGTTGTCAACGTCGCAACGTCAAAACAGTTGACGTCGTTCCAATAAATAAAAACTTCTATGTTCGCTTAGAGAACAGATAAAATGCCGCCGACAATACTGAACTTGTTCAGAAGCTGTTTCCAACGGCCTGCAGAAAATGGATCTTCGAACGCGATATGGAAATTGAATAAGAAAGTCGAAGGAGAATTTAATTTTATTGTACCCCGGAAAGATTTTGCAAATTTTGCAGATATGAAGCCGAAAGATGGAGCGAATCTTACTGTAGGTCAGTACATGTTTCTTTACATGTATATAGTTCCAAGTAAAGATTTCAAAGAACCAGGTCCCAACTTTGAGAGTGTTATTTATTACTTCTGGGACAACTCTTCTTTGTTCCTTATGAAAGGCTGGGTTCCTACAGCAGCAGACGAAAAATCTTTATTGTCGAATTTAAATAAGAAAATAAAGCATATGACGCCTTGTGATACAAAGCCAGTGTATATAAAAGAGAATAGCCCGTGCAACGATACCAACAAAAAATCTACAAGATTTAACGATTCCAATGTTGAATCCGAGCTAAAAAGTGAATCAAGAATGGTTCCACCAAAAATATTCGCAGGCCCACCACATATGAAATCAACCTACAACTGGGGAGTGATAAATACATGGAGTAGACACATGGCCCCGGAAAGTGAAGACTATCATCCCGTTTTCATCTATGATCGTATTAGACAAGCAGCCTTTCCATCAGATTCAAACATGAGAGCATTAGAGATGTTAGACAGGGATATCGAAAATGTCATTGCAGGTAAACCTATCAATGATGAGCGCGTGTCAAAAAGCTCGGATAAGTTAAATGGTATGGTCGTCTCCACGATAGATACACGTGACAGAAGAATAAGACCACGTGCAGCAAGGGGACAACGAACGCGCCATGCCATTTAGTGGAGAACAAATGACATTATAAATCTTTAAATTTACAACAATAACATTAATCAGAAAAAATGATAATATTTTTTTTAAAAAAACTAGTGAT